TCGGCCTTTTTACCACAAATCATTTGTAAATGTTTCAACTATGTCTGATATGAAAGATTGGTGAGAAAAATTAAAGTCTGTTTTCTGTTAGTCATTTGTTTCGAAAAATTGATTCATAAGAATGTTTACTAGCCAAAAGCGTTTTGTGGAAATGTTAGTAATTTTATAGTTGAATTCATGAATGGATTAAGGCTAGACTATCATGGAAACTTTTGAAGCACTGCACGACTGTTTCTTTCTAATATGGGATTCCTCAGCCGTGTTGGACAGTGGCTCAATTTCATGGATTAGTTAAAGTTGAACATTAACATCTTCGTATGCCGGTTCAATGGTTTTGAGGTTAGGCGCTCGCGTGCGAGACTGACAGGTTCTGGGTTCTAATCTCATGAGTCGTGATCGTGGATGCGCACTGCTGAACAGTTCTATACTAGGGTGAAACGTGCATCCTGTGCTTCCAGGTACTCCATTGTGGTTGAGTTTCATTTGACTCATGAGTTCAACAATAAAATATTGTTATTCGTTGATTGAATTTAAACGTGATGAGAAAAATAAACAGCCAATTAAATGAAATATACTTCATTGACAAGTATAAGTTAAAAGATAAGCTTCGAGAGATAATAGATGATCATGAGAGATTTACGATAAAAATTATCATCTTTGAATACAAGTGTGTATATTAGTTAAACGATAGTTGTAGTGTGGCGTCGAATCGCGGTTGACTATGATCACCACTAAAGGAAGACTATGTGCCAGATTCCTCGTAGGCCAAATATCAGAAGGCAGTTGATGGCTGCAGTTGAGATGTATTTGTTAGCGATCTCGTGGTATCAAAAGAATACCGAGTTCGTGCCAGGTTACCGAATTCGTGCAAGGTCACAAACAACGGAAGAATGTATGTGTTTTGGTACAGTTAAACAAACAAGTACGGTAAAAAAAATCCCTGGTACAATTTGTTATAATAATAATTGCTTCCACTACACCAATCGCTTTCTCTTGATAAAAGTAGGTCACTACATGGTTAACCAAATAGAATTAAGTAAAACATCAATTTGAGGATAACTAAATAAACCAAATTATTCTAGAAATGAGAAGAACAAATTAATGATCCGTTTATGCGATAGCAGGATACTTGAACACTAAATATGATATGTAACACACTAGATTGAGGAACGGTAAATGAATGACAAAATGAGATGTAATATGAACATACGGAAGAGTAAATATATTACAATTCAAATTAATCTAACACTCAAAACCAATTAATACTCCATAGATGAACAATTCGAACATCACAGAATCAAGAACAATCTATCAAAAATAACATTTGTCAAGCAACACATTCACAATTTGATCCTCATATCAAGAACACAATGATAACAATATGAGAAGTATAAGAAGTTAGTCAAAACTGAACGATGAAAATATACATCACATAGATGAAACAAATTCAAGGAAGGAAAATTACAACATGATGTGCATGATCACTATGTCGATCAACATAATCAATCAGTGATCTACTCATATGTATGTACTACTGAAATACAATTCGATACAATTCAACTAAGATCACATCTCCACCTCATACTCACAATTATGTGACAAACAACAGAATTCAATATTGTCAACAGGACAAGTGACAACCATTCTCACTAGTCCTATCCTTCAACAATCTGACTGATAGAAACTCTAAAAATATATCAAACATGATTATATTGTGAATGGTGAATAATATCTCTGAAGTTTCACACAAAACATATCGCTGGTTGTCACTGCTGTTCAGATATCTGGTGGATAACACTGATATGTATGAACAGATAGTGAATACTGGATTGCACTATTCCAGTAAACCTTCATCAATATTGAGTGGGAGATCGATCCATCACACAGATGCATTTCAAACTGTACACAATACGCATTCACTATTCCACTATCCCACCGACACATATCATATAAGAAATTTAAACACCCATTCAACAGATTTAATCATCAACACACATTCATTCATTCATTCATTCAATACAACATCAACATCTCTCAACAGACACAATGTATAAACAATCATAACTCATCATACATTCAACGAAGTTCTCTCACAATCACTCAACATCGAAGGACTGATTGTTCGAGAACAATCACATTTTCATTGATCCCCACTCATACACTCAACATACAGATCTCTCAACAAAACACACTCTGACATATGTACAGTCTACACAAAAGCAAATAATTCTCACCGACCACAATGAGTTCATGTAGATTTCTATTTGTCATTATCATATATATGCCAAAAATCGTAACCAATATATGCAACGGGATAGAGTGAAAAGAAATCGAACAGAATGGAATGAGACAACGGTGGGGATTGTTTGAATTTAAAAGATGATTTATGTGAACGTGTGACTTGTTTCAATTAGACGATAATCAATGATATTGTGGAAATACAATAACTAATATATTGGTAGTTCGATACTGTTCACAGCAACAGTGGACACTCATGATTCTAACAGATATGGGATTTAGTGTTTGTCTTCCTTTATCCATCTATCTTTCAGTATTTCGTAAGAATGATTAGTTAACGTAGTTGCAAATAAGATAATGTGAAACGGAGATGACAGTATATTAAGATATTTTTCACACTTCTAATAAATTAATATTCAATGTACTGATGTTTAATTCATTCTACCTATTTGTATATGGTGATTATCGGGTGATCTCATTGAGATCTATTTAGTGATCATAATATGTTTTACACAATTAGTTAAATTTGGAAATGTAATAATAACTGCTATTAATAATACGCCACTTTTTGGTAATGCAGAAAAATGAAATTATCTTAAAGATTATATAACCATTTTTCATATTCGCTAATTGTTTTCACGATTAAATTTTTACCAGACAAATCCCGCGATCTGGATGGTGTATGCATACTACTGAAGAGTCTCACAATAGGACAAAACGGTCGTTCATTGCTTTCAGGTTTTCAATTGTGGTCTAATATCAATTGATTCATGGACTCAATCAAAAACCTAATAATCTCCACAACCCTCATACTGATAATTACCATGTGTTCATTAGTGGCTAGGTTCGTGAATGAATTCTAGTGAGAAGTAGTGACCAGTGAAGCTAATACGCGTCGGTTAGAAACAGATATATAACTCAGTACAATGGAAATTTGTGGCACTATTAGTTGATGTTAGACATTAACACCCTCACATTCCAGGTCAGTGGTTTAGAGATTAAGCGTTCGAATCTCGAGAGGTGGGATCGTGGATGAGCAGCGCTGAGATGTGCCATACTAAAATGAAACAGCTGTCCAGTGTTTTCAGGTTTTTAATGGTGGTCCAACATATATTGGTTCATGATCACAATCAAAAACATCGGAATCTCCACAATCCCATATTGATATTTACGAACAAATTAAAATGCTTTCTTTGAAAATTTTCCCTTTAAATTATTTTACTTGAATAAACATCAAATCTAAAGTACTGACGTTTTGCAGTGATTTATCTAATTATTTTATTTAAACACTTAAATATTGATATAACAAGACATCAAATACATATGCATCACATAAATCGAATGATTTATGTGACAGCTGGCATACTACCCAAAAGCTCAAACAGAAACAGGTAGTTTTCTTAAGGGGCCATACTCGGAGCTTACGACCTAAAGGTCTGATACAAATGGCAGTGGAGTAACTTCATCAGATGCAGTCCCATGGTAGTCAGTGATCAACGATTGGTTCATATGACATTTGTTCCTTCAGGATCGTGTAGCCCATATGCACCATTGGTTTGGAATTAGGGTTTTTCAACTCCCCTATGTGGATTCTCCGTATACACCAACGGGGTTAAATCACCGGACATTCACATTTAGTTCTCTCAATTTTGTAGAACTTCCCTGACAGTGGTTGTATGCTAGTGACGATGTGAGGGTATTTCGAGAGGGAGAGCAAACTCTCCACACTTTCGACTGTACCAGGGCATTTGATAGCGTTTTTTTTAGGAAACTTTACAACAAACTGCCCTATCATAAGAACTATCAAGTCATTACGTAATATCATCCAAACGAAAACATATACAATAATATTACTGATAAGTAAACTATTTATGTAAAAGTCATTCTTCAATGTCATGCTTTTAGGAAGAGAAAAATATTTGCCGAGACTCTAATTTATGGACGACCTTTGAACGAATCTTAAGTGACCTTGAGAAATCAGCAAACCGTCAGTATAGAGTAAAAATATGTTATACAAAACCAAAAAAATAAAGTGGATACACTTCTTATACGTGGTTCAAATACTTTTCAAAGTTAGAAAGAGGTTCAGAGGTTCTAAAATCGTAATGCATACAGTAGAGGAAATCATCCATACGGCTATAGAATAGTCGGCCTCTGGAACCATGATAAAGTCTCAAAAACTATTTCAGCCTCGACCACATAGCTTCAATATTGTTTATGTGCACAACGATTGTTGAGTACACAAAATACCACTTGTGGATAATGACACGATGCACATAACCAAGCCTACGTAGGAGTCTGTACGCTCTACAAACATTCGTATATATTGTAGTATCTGGCTGCATCCAGTTTTACTGGTGCTTTTATTATCCACTTCGCAATAATTGTCATAATTTGCCTTAATTAGGAATTATATATGGGGTTTTCATCACGAGCTGACATCAGCTATAATGCCAGAAATTTATTCAGCCAAATGGATGAAAGACTTTCGCGTCAAAATGAGAGATCTATTATCTTATACCTGATTGATTCGTCCACAAATTATAGTCTCGCCGTTTTATTTGTTATAGCCGCTCAATGATCATGTTTTGTACAAAATTCTCTGTGAACCGATTGTACGTTAGCATTCAGCACTGAAATTGGCACCGTCATCTTGAAATCTCTAAAAACGCCTCTGATTGGCTCATTCATAAAATTAGAGTCTCTCCAAAAAAAATTTTTTTTCAGTGGGAAATACAAACTAACCAATCAACATCAAGAGAAAACTACTCATCATAAAAAAATAAGTAAATAACAAATCATAATTTAGTTTATTCCATGTATAAATAAACAACAGAAGTTTAGTAGTAACTCTTGATTGAAGAAATTTGCCAAACATTCGAAATAATACAAAAAAAGAACAAACAATTATGGCTTATCATATGTATAGACAATGTTCATTGAATTGGAATGTGAAATCAATGAATTCATTTAGTATACTACTTATATTACTAATTAAATTGATTTTATTTCAATCTAATTCAATATTAATTAATGGAGATGAATTAAATCTTAATAATAATAATAATAATCCTTCAACTATACAAAATGATCAACAACGTGCACAAGCATTAGCTAAACTTATGTCATTATTTTATACTAGTGATGCATTGAATAAATATATGGAAAATCTTGATGCATATTATATGCTTAGAGGTAGACCAAGGTAATGAATACATTTGTTGTTGTTGTAAATATTAGTACTATTTATATTACACTTGGTATTATTTGACTTGTTTCTTTCCATTGACGTTTAAAACTGCAATTGATCAGTGTGTTGTTGGCATATGTGCATACTGTGTGTATGCCTCGATACTGCCTTAATTCACAAGCTTTTTGTAAGCAACGATGGATAGTGGTTAGCAGTGGAATCCAGTTTGATGCGCGTTTCGTCCTATTTGGTACTCGTCAGCTGAATGGGTACTGGGTTCGAGTCCCAGAGTGAACATTAACTCTGAGATGCAGGTACATCCAGCTGACGAGTTCCAAATAGGACGAAGCGCGCGTCCTGGATTTCACTGCTAGCCAATACCCACCATTGCTAACTATTTATATTTGTTATTATTTATTGAGGCCCTTCCATTTGACATCAGTTAGAATGAACGATGTTTGTTGACAAGAGTTGTCCACTTTAGTGGCCCAGGATCTGACTGATCCAATTAGATCATATGAATGATCTTTGTCGATATATATATATACATATATATGTCGCCTATCCTCTTATATTAATCATCGACGTAAATCGCGTTAGTCAATAATGGGATTAAATAAGTCAAATAGCGAGAATGGCTTATTGAATACATATATTTTGTATATGAAGCGAATGAAATAGAGCGAAGTGGAACGACGTGCAGTGGAGATGGCGGGCAAAACAACTCCCCGTTAGTCAAGTGTTAATCAATATTTATAGTCACATCAAAATAGGCTACGGATATGTGCTGAATAGGAGAAGAAGTGTACACAGATATATGCGCCCATATAAAAACAATCAAGGTTGATAAGCGAATAATTACCAACGTCAAAATGTAATTCAAGTAGAATGAATAGATTGACCTGTCCGAAAGGTAGAATAAGATATATGAGCTTAACATGTCAACCGATTAACATATTTATTATTGAATATGTTTGGATATGTTTAACATGATTATTCATATAAATTTCCTAATTAATTAGTCATAAACTGATATCATGGAGTATAGGATCATCTATGATAATTGAACGGATGGCCTTGGTGCATAAAGCCATTGCCAGGAGAGTCCTACTCACTGCCTTCTCGTGGTAGGGGTGTTGTTTATGAAATTGAGAGAACGAAATGTGAATGTCCGGTGATTTAACCCCGTTGGTGTTTACGGAGAATCCACATAGGGGAGTTGAAAAACCCTAATTCCAAACCAATGGTGCATATGGGCTACACGATCCTGAAGGAACAAATGTCATATGAACCAATCGTTGATCACTGACTACCATGGAACTGCATCTCCTCACGTTACTCCACTGCCATTTGTATCAGACCTTTAGGTCGTAAGCTCCGAGTATGGCTCCTTAAAAAAACTACCTGTTTCTGTTTGAGCTTTTGGGTAGTATGCCAGCTGTCACATAAATCGAATGATTTATGTGATGCATATGTATTCGATGTCTTGTTGTATCAATATTTAAGTGTTTAAATAAAATTAAGTAACTGAATCAATTCACAGCTCATATGAATATTTTTGTATATTGAGCTAAATTCTTTATATGTTAATCTTTTTGTTTTCTGGAGAACATTATCTGTGCTTGCTTCGTGTTCAATTGAATTTATCGGTTATTACTTCATTCTAATCACATTGTCTGTGATTTGTTGTCTCCATAGGGTTTTTTTGTATTCCGGTTATCTGTCTTATTTGGTCAATCTCTCTTATAGTGTTGTTATTTAAAAGGCTATTCAGATAAACAATGATACTACATAAATTGATTAATCGGGAATAGAATAATAAGAGTTACATATATATCACTTACGACCATTACTCCTTGTAGAGGAGCATAGGCGGTCCAACAGTATTATGTGTTAGTAATAAAATAACTTAAGTTAAATTGTAAATAATTCAGATTACAAATGTTAACTTACAAACAAATAACTGAAAACGGGGTGTTGTAGAGATTGTAGTAAATTTGATGGTTGAGATTATTAGTCAAGCTAGATAAACATGGAAAACCTGGAAGCACTGGATGACTGTCTCGTCCTATTGTGGGACTCCTCAACAGTGTGCACCCACGATCTCGTTTCGCTTCAATTTACTCATGATCTCAACCATTGAAATTACTATAGTATTCACGAAAACACCTTTCTGATATGAATTAACATATGCTCCCTAATGACTGGTTTCAAGAGGGATTTCTTGGAGTTCTAGTGAGAAGCAGTAAACAGTACAGTTCAACTAGGTCTGTTGTGAGACAGTAACTCACTGATGACAATGATGGATGTGTCGTTCAATTTCGTGGATTATTTGAAGTTAGACATTAACACCATTGTGTGCCGGCGGGCTCAGTAGTCTAGAGGTTAATCGTTCGCACGCGAGACTGAGAGGTCCTAGGTTGGAATCCCTCGAGGCTGGATCATGGATGCACATTGTTGAGGAGTTCCATATTAGGACGAAACGGCTATCCAGTACTTCCTGATTTTCCATGTTGGTCTCACTTCAGTTTTTAATTCTATGAATCTTATGTAAACCCTTTATTACCTCTAAAATTTATCACAAAATTTATCTTACATATATATATATATATATAGTTAACATTGATAATATTTATCATTCCAATCCTTTACATTCACTTATGTCAATTGTTCCGTACCTATATCTTATCTCTATGTAAAATTCTTACTTACTTACTTTACTTACGCCTGTTACTCCCAATGGAGAATAGGCCGCCGATCAGCATTCACCAACCCACTCTGTCCTGGGCCTTCTTTTCTAGTTCCATCCAATTCTTGTTCAGTTTTCTCATGTCTATCTCCATTTCCCGGCATTATGTGTTCTTCCTCTTTTCCTTTGACCTTGAGGATTCCATGTGAAAGCTTGTCTTGTGATGCAGTTGGGTGCTTTTCGCAATATGTTTTCTATCCACTTCCAGCGTTCCTTCCTGATTTCTTCCTACGTCTGGAGTCCCTCCTGGGGCTTCTACCGGTCCCAAGCCCAGATAAAGGAGGAGGGTTGGGCATGGGGTTAGCGACCCCATTCCGTAGAACAATAACTTGCTAAAAAGATGCTATTTAGAAATTATATAAAACTCTAATACCTATTTAATTGTAAACAGCTGATAATGAGAAACCACAACAACAGAAAATGAATTCATATTATTCTATATCTATATTTATTCTAGTTTTATTTTAATCCATAAAAAGAACTAATTGCATAAAACTTAAATAGTTGTTTGTTCCAAAAAACCCACTGAACAAACGTGAATGTGAAACAGGTCACTTGTTTTGTATTGCTTCATCGAATGGATAAATTTCAATATTCAATTAGTTATGTTAAGGATAATTCAATTTAGTTGAATTCTATATATTTAACTAAATTCTATTCATTGTTTTTATTGATTAACTTTATCAGATCCTATTACCTTATTATGTACAAGTAGAGAAATATAATCTATTCACACACACAAAGAAAATGTAATATGTTGTACTGCCATTTGAATTCTTCTTATTGTGATGTGTGCTACTGATATTGACAGATATTAGTAGTATATATTATCAATCGAAAGTGAAATGTTTGACGTAAAAGGTTCAGAAGATCGAAGAGAATAGAACGAGAATAGAGAATGATTGATGTGGAAATAAAAGAACAGTCAAGAGTGAGACAATTGATTGATACGTTGCAACTGAAGTAGTTACTGTATTATTCACAGAATTTATTAAGACGTTCTATAATTTTGTATTCATATACATTCGAATGTCCCCCAATTGTGTTCTCGTTCACTACAATATGTATAAATACATGATATATAGGTTGTGTAGAGAATATTTCAATATACTGTCATCTCCGTTTCACATTATCTTATTTGCAACTACGTTAACTAATCATTCTTACGAAATACTGAAAGATAGATGGATAAAGGAAGACAAACACTAAATCCCATATCTGTTGCAATCATGAGTGTCCACTGTTGCTGTGAACAGTATCGAACTACCAATATATTAGTTATTGTATTTCCACAATATCATTGATTATCGTCTAATTGAAACAAGTCACACGTTCACATAAATCATCTTTTAAATTCAAACAATCCACACCGTTGTCTCATTCCATTCTGTTCGATTTATTTTCACTCTATCCCGTTGCATACATTGATTACGATTTTTGGCATATATATGATAATGACAAATAGAAATCTACATGAACTCATTGTGGTCGGTGAGAATTATTTGCTTTTGTGTAGACTGTACATATGTCAGAGTGTGTTTTGTTGAGAGACCTGTATGTTGAGTGTATGAGTGTGGATCAATGAAAATGTGATTGTTCTCGAACAATCAGTCCTTCGATGTTGAGTGATTGTGAGAGAACTTCGTTGAATGTATGATGAGTTATGATTGTTTATACAATGTGTCTGTTGAGAGATGTTGATGTTGTATTGAATGAATGAATGAATGAATGTGTGTTGATGGTTAAATCTGTTGAATCGGTGTTTAAATTTCTGATATGATATGTGTCGGTGGGATAGTGGAATAGTGAATGCGTATTCTGTCCAGTTTGACATGCATTTATGTGATTAATCGATCTCACACTCAATATTGATGAAGGAATACTAGAATACTGCAATCCAGTATTCACTATCTGTTCATACATATCAGTGTTATCCACCAGATATCTGAACAGCAGTGACAACCAGCGATATGTTTTGTGTGAAACTTCAGAGATATTACTCACTATTCACAATATAATCATGTTTGATATATTTTTAGAGTTTCTATCAGTCAGATCGTTGGAGGATAGGACTAATGAGAATGGTTGTCAGTTGTCCTGTTGACAATATTGAATTCTGTTGTTTTTCACATAATTGTGAGTATGAGGTGGTGAGATGATCATAGTTGAATTGTACCGAAGTGTATTTCAGTGGTACATACGTATGAGTAGATCACTGATTGATTATGTTGCTCGACATAGTGATCATGCTCATCATGTTGTAGTT